GTTCCCTGTCTCTGCTGTTTATCAATTCATTCGCTATAACAGTGATTTGATGTGACACATCTGCGGGGAGAGTGGTTGCCGAGAGGTAGAGCAGACCGAAAGGAGTGGAAGTGTATTCGGTCAGTACGTGTACGATAAGTGTTCAGAATTTCATTCAAAAGTAAGAGAAATACTGCTTACTTGTAAGTTCTAGAGAATCAGAGATGTGTGCATCCAACGAACCTTAAATATGCCATAGGGAAGTTTGTATGGCACTGAATCAACCGGTAAATCCGCAAAACTGCTCGAACTAGGCGACGGCGGTGGCCGACCAGTAAACAAGGCTCGTAGTTTAGCCATTAATGTGAACATCTGGTTCATTGCGAGGCGTTGCAATATTCTGAAAATTGCAGAGTGTCTGCACGACGAAAAGTCAAAGTGACTTGGTCACTGTAGCAAGTAAATTCGATGGTCTAACTAATTTAACAGGAAGCCCAGTAGCAAAGAGGTTTGGTAGCTTGCCATTGAGAAGAGAGTCTTTTCATTTTCACACATCTACATAAATTAATCCGTCAAAATTTGCATAGTGGGCAAGTACACCGGCTACGGAAAGAGATCGTTGTAATGAATTTGTTTTATCACCCTTACTGCATAACTCAAATTTACCAATGCTTACCAGCACCTTAACAGCGTAAAAAGTGCTATGCAGCGTTGTGCTGTGAAACTGAAAAAACTTAATACAAAAGCGAAACAATACTCGGGTACTCACGTTTGGGGCAACAGAAATCACTTTTTATTCATATGAGAACCGCTGATTTGTATTTGAGCAACGGTGGAAGAAGATTAAAAAAAAAAAAAAAAACCAGGTTGGGACACATCAGGCTTGCCGGTGCAATCAAGCGTTTTTGCATTAAACTCGCAGGTCGCTAATAGCAGGAATGACCCCTGCGCTATAGCCTAAGACTTGGGCTCATACTGGCCGTGCTTTGGCCTCTTCCGGCATGCAAGAGAAAGGGCGTCGGTTGGAATGAAGGTATTGCATTACAGGGTCTCATAAACCTTCAAATACATGATTATCAGTTTTTTGCATGAAGCCCGGTCGTTTTTCTGATAAATACTCGCCCTTCGAAAAAATGCAAATTTCCAGTTCACTGAAAAGTGAAAATGTTTGCCAGAGCGGTCGTTCGTCAAAAAACCAAATATGTAAATGAGTTCATTTACATATTGGGAGAGGATGAGGACGGTCGTTCGTTGCAAAATACACTCGTTTCTATCTCTTCGATAAAGCTGAGCATTTCTTGCCAACCTGCATGGATTTTCCCTTCCAAGCAGAATTAAGACCGCACTTGAAAGTAGAGTATCCCA